ACGTAACATAGATTTAGTATGTGTTGTAGATCTATCAAAAAAGCTACCGTAGATCTATCAAAATCGATACTTTTGCCGAAGTGACAATAAAAATTCAAAAAGAACGACAAGTCAGGTGATTACAGTCACAGGAACAAACCGGTTTATTCATTTAACCATCAATTTTTGTTACATGTCGCATGAAAGTGAGCGGTTTCATATAGTAAAAATCGCATATTATCGTTATGTCGCATCATAATCCCGGACACCCTAGTTCTAGTGTAGGTACACTATCACGTGTCAGGTTTTAGGGTAGGTACAAGAATTACCCGATGCCCATGTGAACTGGTGGGTGTCCGGAGACTTTCCCAAAATTCATAAATTGATGCACGTGTGTGAAATCTTATTACGTGAAGAGGGCAGATGTAAATCCCAAGATCGGGACCAAGCTATAGTGTGTGCCTTGGGAATGGTCCTTCTGTGTACTTAGAGTGATTTTACTGCGTCTACATTAATTATCGACCTAGTGTTATAATTAATTGTAAAATTTAATGGGTAGCATTATTCGCTTTCAGTAAGTTGATTCGAATAAAAACATAATTGAATCATTATTAAATAGTCAAGTAAATCAATATATACTATATTTTAAAAGTAACTAACATGAATTCTGTAATTAATGAACAGTTTGAATAGTTGTGTGTCACTTTCAACGTAGCCAAATAAAAAATAAGGCAAATTTTAATTGAATTAATGCATATAGGAATATGTATAAATTGAAAAAGTTCTCTAGCATATGAATGCAATTACTTTGGTTGCGGAATATGGTCGTACAATAAAAAAACATTCTGTATCAGGCTCATATGCTTAAACTCTAACAAAAACGGAAAATACAAAAGCCGACCCAATGTTTGAACTGTAATAAACATGATACCTTCCATAATGTAAAAATATACATATGTGAGCATTATTTATTTTGTTATTAATCCTTTGCTGCTTCCTTGCTAGGCTCTTCTTCTTGAGCAGCCCCCTTGTTAGATTCTTCATTTGGTTCGTCTGTCTTTGCAGTGTCATTAGCATTTTCTAACTCAGGGTAGTCTTCATCATCAGAATCATCCTCCTTAATTATTATAGTTTCATGTCAATACCGGTCATCATTAAAAGAATTTTAAAAATATTATTCAACTTACTTCAAATCCTGCACCACCACCTGCACCACCACCCGCACCCATTAAATTAGAGAAATCCATTCCGCCTAAAGGATCCTGTCCACCTTCATCCTCATCCTCATCCTCATCCTTCCATTTGGCAAAGTCGGTCTTGAGAAAGCTGATTTTACCTTGTTCCTTTTGTAAACGTGGCCAATATTTTTGTCCATGTTCAGCTTTATCAAGAACAATGATAATACTACGTGCAGTCTGCGAGCGCTTTGAAGCCTAAGCATTAAAAAAAAAAAACAATGATCAATATGACTAATTGATTATTTATATTTTAAATACATTTTCACGTCTAAATCAGTGTTGAAAATTAACTTTATGTTCTTTGAATACACTTTAACCTTTTTAATTTTCAGTTTTTTTTTTTTTTGTTTATTGTTCTCTATATTAAGAAAACTGCAGCACACCTGTGCTCTCGATTTAAAAAAGATGGTCATATTTGATCCTCTTAAATAAGAGTATATTTCATACCCTCCAAAATTGATGTTTTCAGAAAACGTTAGAGATCAAATTTTCAACACCGATCGTGATATTCTACCAAATATCTTGGTTAAAAAAATTTTTTTAAAAAAAGAAATCAATTGTTACCTCTGGATTAATTTCCTTATATAAGTTTAGCTCAAACTGATACAGTTTCTGTTCTGTACCTCCGGTTCCTTCAAAAGAAATTTTATCTTTGGTCACATCGATTTTAGGATCCTTAATATCAACTAAATTTATAGTAACATAAATCTCATTTTGGCGTTGTGCCCAAAGTACTTCGGGGTGAAGACTACTTAAACAGAAGTTGATAAATTTATTAAGACAACATAATTCAAGGCGCATACCGTGTCTTAACCGTCAAAAACCTGAGACGTGAAAAAAAATTTTTTTTCTTACCGAGAAGACGTCATTATCACTTAATAATAATAGAATTGTATGTATTGAACAAAATAAAATGTTCTAATATTTTATATCGAAATCAATTGTACCAAAGACATCGATAAACTCCGTTTATCAGATCTTTTTTTTCTTCTTTATAGTGACGTAAAGAATTTCGCGAATGTTCTAGTGCATTAGCATTTGTGTTACGATTTTATACAATATTTATTTTAAAAAGACAAGATCGTCTTAATACTCGATACACGCGTTAATCAATGTACGATCACCGTTTAGAGTTAGAATAAAGCTCGTTGCACACACAAAAAATATGTATATATATATATATATAAACTGCATATAAAATAAATAACTGTAACTTCTTGAATGTAGAAATTATAATTCTAATCAGTCAGTGGCTTTGAAATAGAGATCAGATCCGGGTATTAATCAATTCAAGTTTGAGAACCAGGTCACTGTGTTGGGTATAATGTATAATTCCTATTCATTTTCACTCGGATAACAAATTTGTATCCGGGTCTGATCTCTACTTTGAAACATTTAAACAATCAAAAAAAGTTTTCAAAAAAAAAAAGTTCTACTATGCTATATAAAATTTACTGAACAAATAATTCAGGGGTTTCATTCTCTACAAATATAGCAGTCTTTTTTACGTTTTCATCCCACTCTTGTAACCTCTGTCTCATATTATCAATTTGATCTTTATCTAAAACACGCGGTTGAACCCACGTTACAACTACTACTTCACCAACTTGATCAATTGACCCACGAATCAATTTAAGGGAAAGTGCCTTCATTACAAGATATTCCACCTTTAAAAACATTAAGAAATTCATGTTCGTTAAATTTTGAAAAAACATTCACTTATAAACTTATAAATAAATAATACCTCGTCAATTGGCAATTGGGTTTCTTCCGAAATATTTGCGAAGGGAATTGTCCTATTATCTGAACTTCTTTTGAATACTGCTTCAATCAATGACATTAAGCAAATCTTCTGACGTAAAAACGACATATTTTCTTGAAGAATTGACTTTAGAAGAAAAAGCTGAACGGGCTCACGATTTGGCGATTAGTGCAT